CAGCCCACGGTTTGAGAACTTGGCATGGTCTTAGAAGAATAGCTCAGGAGGAGTGCTTCTTGAGGAATATTTTCCAATAACAATGTGTTTGTTGTAGATTAAATAGTTTCTTTGCTTTGCGGTCTTTCAAAGTCTTTGGATTGGTTTTTGAGTGCTCATAAAAGTGATTAAGAAAAGTAAGTTTGTGTATGCTGTGGAGCAGTCCATGCATATAAAGTTTCTAGAGGGTGTGCACCTTCGCTAGAAGAGCTTTAGGAATCTGCAAATAGAAGAAAAATTGATAACTGGTTTGAACAGACATTCTGCAGAGTAGAGTGGGTTAAAAAAAACAGTCTCATAATATAATATAATATAAAATCTTGATTTCTGTTGAGATGCCCAGCCCAGCAGTATCACCACAGTGAAGCAAGTATGGAATCACCCTTGGACATCAAACAGCTTTAGGTAGGTAATTGTGAAATGTAATTAATGCCCATAGCTTTTTGAGAGGAGTCTGAAAAAGTCTGTTCTTTGGCCAAACAGACAGATTTAAGGAGGAAACTAAACACTGCTGTCTACTCAGAGTTGGTAGGAAGCAGTTTTTGTCACTCTTCAATGGCCTGAGTTAGTCATGGATTTCTGTGTGAAATAAGGGACTGTTCTGCTCCTGGAAGCAGAGTTCTGTCTTGAAAAGTCCATCTAAAATAGACTTTGCTTCCTTGATTCAGGAGTAATCTTTTTTTTCCTGTGCAGCCTCGCCTCTATGGGTAGCTGTTCTTTTGGTAGTGATTGTGGCGTTTTGGCATAATTTTGCAATAGAATGCACGTCTCCGATGAGGTAATAAATGAACTCTTTTGTTAACCGAAGTAATGTGTGAGTCATAAGTGCTCTTTTATGATGATGCTTGCGTCAAAACGCATCATGACAGCACTCGTTCACTGTACTTCCCCCTACTGTTTTAATTGAAAGGGACAGTGAAATGCCAAGTGCTGTGAGTTGGGCTCTGAGCAGTTTGGTTTGGTTTGCCGATAACTTTTTATTTATCACCGAATAATGCTGTTATAACTTCGGTGTTTTCGTATGAACTGTTGCATCATGAGTACCCTGCAGCTGAGGGTGGAATGCCCGGCGTCTCTGTAACTCGCTAGTTTGGTAATAAAGGATATAGTGGTTTTGGTTTGTCCGCTTCAGCTCCGCCGCCATTGTAAATTGTGTGCTTTAGGAGTTTTTGAGTGGTATTTACTGGCATGGTGAAAGTTTGAGCTTGCATGTTGGATAATAGGAAACCATTGTTAAATGCAGTTATCTGGAAGGAAGAAAAAATGATTGATTTTTACTTTCCTGTTGCAAGTGTTTTGTTTCTGTTTTTTAAACAGGAAACTATTGTATTATAGAGTTATGTATGCTCTGTTGGGACTCGAAATAGCCATTTGAAATTTGGCAAAGATAGAGGCACACAGTCTTTTGGACAAATTTTAATTTGTTTTTATTGTTTAGAATGAAATTTAGGGATAGAGACCACACAACCTGACTCTGCATACGGCTTTTGTGTACAGAGATGCTAAATACCCGAAAATGCAGTGTTTCCATAGGCGGAGTTTCTTTTGTATTCACAGGCAGGGGAGCCTCAAATTCCAGAGGCATTACATGAGCAGTTTTAATGAATTAGTGTCTGGTTTTCCTGCAGCAGATGTGACAAGCAGCTTTATAAGCTGCTTCCCATCGATCGCTGTTTTCCAGCTCTTTTGTGTCTTTCTTTTGCTTAGAGAAAAGCAGCGAAGAGCTTGGTTTCTACAGTAACTGCTGCCTACATTCTTGCCTGCAGGCCAATGGCTTTCTCGGTTCCTGCAGCCTGCGCAGGGCTACTGTATTGAATTTCTTTAGGTTTTGTTGTGTGGTGTTTTTGTTTTTTTTTTTTTTTTGTTCTTGCTGGTTTAAATATTTTGCCCTTTAAGGAAAGAGGAGAATGCAATGGGAATATGTGATTTTTAAGATATTTATTTTTAATTAACTGTAGAACGTTTCCGTGACTAGGATAACCTGAATGTTTTTGCTGCTGATCAATACCAGTGTTCGTGTGGTTGGTATAGAAAGAAAATGAAACGTCTGGCTGCTAAAACAAGAACCTTTGGAAATCTGTAATAGCACTTTCGTCAGTGCTTGTTTATGTAGCGTAATAACGCAGGGGAGGGGTGAGATCAGCTTTTGAGTTGTTAATAGAATCATTTACGTTTTCAGCAAAATGTACTATAGTTGAATAACTTCAGGAGGGTCTTTTTCAGTCTCGACTTTTAAATGTCCTTAGCTTGTTGTGATCACAGGGTTAAAAAAGCATTGTTGCTTAGGAAGTTAGCTTTCTAAGTGGGAAAGAAGACTTGAACACAAACAAGAACATGTGTTTATTACTCAGTTTGTAGTTGCTGCTCGTGGTTCAGGAATGTTCCTGTTGTCGTCATCAGTACTCTGTTGTCATAGGATCATTTTTTGACACAGACAGACTTGTTCCAGATCCTTCTGAACGTGGGTTAACGCCATTCCTGTAATGAATACCAACGACTTTGCATACTTGTTATGTGTTTGCTAAAACGTGAGCAGGGAAATATGTAACTTGGGTTTCTTAGGAGGGAGCCCTTAATTTACAACTAGATCATATTTCCAGCTTTTGCTTAGAATTTGGTAGAAGTGTTTTATTGGCCAGCTTCAGCAATATTTTATCACTTCTGATGATGCATAAATCTTTGCTTTTGAATCTGAGGACATCTGAGTGTATAGATACATGATTGATTTTTTTCTTCAGGATATTTTTTGGTACTGCTTTATGTCACTGTATAGACAGTGATAGCACACCTGAAAAACCACACAAATACTTATGAAAAGCATGCCCAGTGCTCAGAATAAAAAGTCTCATTACTGGTTTAAAAATTTGAGAGTGTTTTGTTCCTTATGGTTTCGGAGGTTTCAGCTTGCTGTAGAGCCCTCACGTTTTCTGTTTGTGGAGGACATGCTTTGCAGCTATTGATCTTTGCTCAACAGAAATTGATTGCAAAGGATAGAGGGAATTAAAGGAAACACACAGGAGGTCACAGTTTGCTCCCCAGAGGAAAAAACTATCACTTTTTAAAGGGCAGTTGCTTTTTGGGTAACCTCTAGAAGTGTACAGACTAGTGATGGCCAAACATAATTGAATGTAAATTTATGATAAATTGGCCAAATCAAGGCTTAGTTTAAAACTGTGGAGGCAAGGAGGGGGAAGAATCCATCCTAACACAATGGTGTATGTGTACGAGTACTTGTGGGAAGTGATGCTCTGTTCCTGCTGGGGTAGTTTCTCACGTTGCTGCATGGGGTGTGGTCAACTACAAGCAGAAGAGCATTGAAAACTTCCTTTTTAAAAAGCTAGTAGAGGAAATAGGCTTTATGATTCTCTAATATAAATTTTAGAAGTAATTTTTTATTATTTTATTTTTTCCAAGTAATTAGAGAAAAGTGGATACTCCTTTCTTCTATTACCAGCAGTACAGAAAGTTTTACAAATGTAATGTTAAAGCTAAAATTTCTCCTGGGACCACAAGGTTATACTTCATGGAGATGAACAAGCTGCTATATGAAATGTTACCTGTAGAGAAATTTCTGAATTTGGACAATAAGAAAATAATTATAATCTAATTAATACTATAGCGTACTGGATCACCCTTTTTCAGTGTATCCATTATAAAATTTCCTATACTCTTAGGATCTTTCTTATTATGAGTAAATTTTACAGCAACACTTTTTAATGTAATCCTAGAAAAGACTTTGCAAAACAAATCTCTGAACAGTTATTTGTATTTAAAGAGTCAAGGAGGAGCTTACTACAAAAAAATGTGATTTTTTTTTTTCCAATGACCTATACTTTATTAGTAGTCATTTAGTGCTGGGAGTTGTCAGATGGCGATTTAATATTGTGACTATTTGAATAGATTTACCTTCATTATTAGTTTGGAAACCCAGATTTTGAACTGTTGAGTGCTTTAAGATTATCCTAAAATTTTGACTCTGCTTTGAAGCGCAATTTATCATTTTAATAAGTTTTGGTATTTTTGATTCTGTTTAGGTCTAAAGATGATGATTCTGTTCTAGAAGTGAACTGTAGTATTGACTTGCAGTTCAGTTAAACACAGCCCAAAGTCTTAAAAAAAAATCCTGGGTGCGAATAATTTAGTATGCTTGCTCTTGGTGTTGAACAATCAGAAACCTTTTGGTGTAAAATTCAGAAGAGGAAGTTAAAAAATGCAATTCTGTTTCTTTTGGAGAAGGATAGACTGAGTGAAGCAGCCACTTTCTCCTTGGTAGGAGAATTGTTGCTTTTCTCCAAGTTAACAGAAGTTATTTCTTTCAGGTATCTCCAAGACATGGATTTGTGTCTCTTCTCACAGGTCTCCTAGTGTGAATGTGTCAGTTTGGTCTGTGAGGGGAACCAAGCTCAGCTCTTCCTTTAGAGACGCACCTTCTTCTCATGACATGAGAGCACAATACACAGACTTTGCGAAGGCTGAAATTATATGTAATTATACTTTAACTTTTTGAGCTTTTTTTACTTCCATGGTATATCTATTTGGTTTTGTAAAGACTCGTCTTTTAAGCCTTGCATTTGAAAATTGATTACAAAACCAATAGCTCGATCTAGTTCAATTTATAATTAATATCCTAATAATCAATTGTGATGAAATCAATAATAAATGAAGCAGCAGATGGAGAAAAGATGAAACTGTGGTCCT